ATGGGGAATTGAAGTCCATGAGTTGAACTCCAGACATCTCAAAGTTGCCAAGGTTGAAAACACTGGGCTAATGATTATAGAAATTGAACTCCAACCCATTTGGAATGGTCCTGATGGGGATTTGATTTGATTTGCCCCATGAGGTCTGCAAACCAATTGCAGAATCAAGATGTGTGCGTGTTTGTGTGTGTGCAAAATTGGGGCCAGAAGGAAAGAAGGCTCAGAGAGGCAAATGCCCCTTTCCAAGACCTGCTCAAGTCGTTCATTTCTCCAAGGGCAGAGGGTTGGATTGGATGATCTCCAAGATCCTTTCCAACCATGATCCTATGAAATACAACTGAGTTAGTACAGATGGGGGATTTTTAAGAGCTTAATTTAGGACATATATTCTTGTTTCAGCTTTGAATCATGTGAAAATCTAATAGGTTCAAGACATCTCTCTATTATGGAATATGTTTGTTTACCCGTTTCAGACCTGTGGGGCTGTTCTTGTTCTCAAGGAAATAGCATCTGCAAAAACAACAGTCTAAAATGGGAAATTACTCCCAAGTGCTGCATTTTATTGAATTAATTAATTAATTTACTCTGCTTTATATGCTACTTGATTCAACCTGAGCAGGTTACAAAATAAGACCAACATTGGAATGAAACCAGTAACATAAAAATTGTTACTATTATTATTATTGTTATTATCATCATCATCTCCAAGATCCTTTCCATTAATAATAATAATTATTAATAATAATAATATTAATAATATAAGCTGTTCATCATTAACCACCAAATACTTCTTTCAAAGGTAGGGACCCATTTCACTCCTCCCTAACTTTTTTCTGAAATAACCAGGTCTTAACAGTTTTTCTAAACGCCATTCAGAATTGGTGCTGATCTGACTTTGGGTGATGTGGAAAAAAACCGCATTGTTTAATAGGAAACCCAATGTGGTTTGGATAAAGGCACTTCCCAGAGGCTCTTAGTACTTAAAACATCCCCCAGTATTTCTGTATAGCACTTGAGATTTCTCCTTTTTTAAAAAAAGAACTCAAGAATGGAATATCAAGGGTTTGACATTGATCAGACCAAGGACTCATCCTTCCCACCTCTTGGTGAGAGACAGAGCCCAAAACCAGGTGAACAAATGGTTCCTTCTGTTGCTTCCCATGTGCTGGTCTTTAAAGGATTCAGGACTAGTAGCCGCCAAGGGAACAATCCGTGACTTTTCAGCCCCTTTTTCAAACTCTCTGAGTTGGTGGCCATACAGCAAAGAATTTTAAAAAAAAAAGGTCACCAAGGATAAACCCAACAAAACAAGTGACTCTCAGTAGGCCATTAAACCTCCCAACCTCCAGGCCCTGAAGCACATCCAAGTCTCCAATGCTTTATGAAAGCCAGCAGGGTTGGGGCCAGTTTGAGGCAGAGGCTTGGTGTGGTGTTCCAGAGGGTAGACTGACAGAAACAATGGGTAGAAATAAGTGGGGTGAGGCAAATAACCCAGCCCCGGGCCTTGGAGGGCTTTATAGGTGACAACCAGCACCTTGAATTCCACCCGGAGGCCCACTGGGAATCAGTGCAGCTCATGGAGCAGAGGTGTAACGTGGGCCTGTAGTTGCCCACACCGCTGCATTCTGGACCAGCGGCAGCTTCCCGTGAAGTTAACGGATGCAGTCAATGAAGTGTAACGTGCAACTGTCACCAACGTACGGACTCTTTAGTAGGCACACCCAACCATCTAGGGGACAACATACCTGCTGACCTACATTTTGTCCTTATTTATTCATTTTACAGCATTTCTAGGCCGCCCCTCTCCAAACATACTCTGGGGGGCAATTCAACCTGTGCTTTCCCTTCCCGGCATCTATTCGTCAAACTCTACGCGGCAAGGTCAGGCCACCTTCACTGAGGTCTATTCCAGCCTTCCCCCCTTCTCTTAATTTCACAGACTCACAATGTATCGATTTTTCTTCCATTCCTTTCCCTTGGTAATGAATCCTCCTTACCATTGATTCCTCTCACATTCCAAGCTGCAATTTTCCACAGGCCATGGTTAACAGGCCTTGCCCAGCCTCTTGGCTTTTGCTGAGTCTTCCATGTAAGGCTTTTAGGAACCTCAAGAAGGGGAAAACCAGGTCACCAGCCTTATTACGCCCAGTCCCGGCACATTTTAGGCAAGATGCCACAATTGCAATCCAAACCCAGATTTACTCTAAGTGTGCTATTCTACACAGATAGGGTTCTGACACACATCCAGCATGCAACTAGTCACTGCCAGGATTAGTTTTTTTTTATACAGGTGTAAAACAGTTTTCATTCGTGTTTTTAAACATCTGAGATGAATGCTGTCATTACAATAACCTCAACCGTTACAAAAGATCAGAATCCACCTCTGCAATGGAAAACAGGATGCATTTGTGGATTCATTTTCGTGGTCGCTGACTTCATTTCTGAAAAAAAGGGGAGAAAAAACGGTGAAAAAGTTATTTCTAAAGCTTTTGGCCAAAAATACGAAAGCATCGCCAAAAGTGCCAGTTAAAAAAAAACTTTTCTTCGTTACACTTGACTCAATGAATTAAGAAAAGGTATTAAATCAATGTTTCCGTCTTTCACAGGCAGCCTTGCCTTTGCATAGCGAAAAAACGAAGTAAGCAATGCAGGACTCCCCCGGGCGTTTCCTCCTGCATTACTCTCCCTTTTTTCCCTCCAAATCAGCCAGAGACATGATAGAGATCAACCTTGGGGGTCTAGAGCGCTTCCCCGGGGTTCTCCATCGCAAGCGTGCCACGTTCGCACGGAAACCGGAAGGGGCCGACCCGAAAACGGAAAAGGGGGAGGCGGGGGCGTGGTCTGGCGTGGGGCGTGGCTTGGGAAAGGGAAGGAGGGAGGGAATCAGGTGGTGGAGAGGAGGAGGAAGAGCAGGTGAGAAGAGGAAGGGGGGTTATTTGGGGGAGGGGTGAAGGTTAGGGGGTATCTATAAATACAGAGGAAGCTTAGGGGAGCCTAACCTGGGGGGGGCACGAAAGAGGTCTAATTTG